GTCAACTGTAATTTAAAAATAAAAATATTTTTTAAAAAGGAGTAGCTATTGCTTTAATAAGCACCTACTATGTACCTACCATACACTATAAAAAAAAAAAACTCATTTAAACTTTACAGTGTCTGTGCAAGACCAATATTATTGTCAGGTATCATAATGTGCCCCTTTGTGAATTTATAGCGCAGACAAGCCTGCTCCAAACAACGCTGACCCCTCTGTCTTGCTCACATCTCTCTGGCTGAAGGTGGCCTGGCCCTTGCCGCAGTTGCCCTGTTTGCTACCCTTGGATTAGAGTTCCGAAGAGGTGGGATACCCTTGAGAGGGACAAAAGTGTGAGGGCAGGAGAGTTCATCATTCAGCTGCATCCAGGAGCAAAAGACACTCCCCCATGAGGGAAGAGGACCTGTGTTTTCAGATCACTTTCCTCTGGAAAGTTCGAAGCATCTTATAACCATTATTATTTCATTCCTCATATTATCCTTGTGAAGTAGGTGTCAATTGTTGTGCGGCTTTTTAGCAGATGGAGCAACTGCAGCATAAGAAGAGTGGCCAACGTCAACCCAGACAAAGGGATGAAAACAAGACAGGCTTCTGGACTCCGGGCAGACTTCACACCCCGCCCATGCCTGTCTGTGGATTGCTGATGTGGACCAAGGTCTTAAACTCAGAGAAGATGAAAGCATTAACTCCAGCTGCTAGTTTTTGCTTTTTGATCCCAACTATTGACATGACAGTACGGGTGAATTTTCAGGTGTGGGTGTGGATATACAGCAGTGGTAAAACTGAAGGTTGACTTTTCAAATCAGGACACTCAGAGTCCAAGCCCATAGGGACTGTTTCCCCCAAGATCATGTGGCTGGAATCATCACCACAGACAAGCAGAAGCATTTCCACTTTGCTGGGACCCGGGACTTACAGGAAATTACTCTTCTGCATGTCTGATCGCTATGGAAATTGATTTTCTACAGAGAGCTAAAAGTACACAGACTGCCTCAGCTGCGTGCCCTCCAGATCTTGGCCCGCGACCGGCACTTCCACCTCCTGACTGAAGCCTCTGGGCCTCCGGAGCAGCAGATGTGTCCACCCCCTGGCTGGAGAGCTCCCCTTGCAGGATTCCTACATCCTGGAAGGTGACTCTGCATTTCAGAGGTCCGTCTCCAGTCCCTGCGAGCTATATACGTGGTCACACTTGGTTACTGCAGCAGGGGAGGGAATATGCTAGATGCCCAGGCTTGATGCTGGTTAGATGCCACAAAGTGAGCGATTACTCTTCTCTTTGTGATGTTACGTACACAGAAACAGACCCTGGCTTGCGGGGAAAATGGCATCACACATGCTGCATTGCTCATCCAGTTGATTTCTGAGGGTGGAGTATCAGCCACATCTGCCACCTGTGCCTATCAGCTTCTTGTTGATCAGGAGAAATGTCTCTGTAACTCTTTATTCCTGTCTTCAGCCTCTTGGGATTCTAAAGGTCATATTCTACCCATGTCTCTGAAGGAGAGCACACGGCCCAGCAACTTCCACATGAACAAAAGGACAGAGGGAAGGACCCTCGGGATGGCGGGTCCCAGGCGCAGGCACTTTGGGAACTCCAGTGCTTGGTCTGAAACGGAAGATGCTCTTGTTCTGGAATGAAACTAGTGTACACCTCAGCTTTACACACTTATTTGTTCTCTTGATCAAAACAAGTCCTTTGTGTTCAGGTACAGAATGCAAGTTGCTGACTTAACATTTATAAAACAAGGACGCCCTAGCTCTGCGGAGAGGAAAGGTGCTGAATTAAAACCAACACATGAACATGCACACACAGACAATAACTCACGAGCAAAGAGAGAGCTGGTCGCTGTTGATACACCTGGAATACGGGGCGGGGGGCACACTGGGTAAGGTACTCCCCCGGGTGCTCTTTCGCCGTGGCAGGCCAGGGCCCAGGATTCGTCCAGACAGCCTCCTAAGCACTCCCAGCTTTTTCTTCCCTTAGTCTCTTAAACATCAGCATTTAAACAGAAACCTCTCACTGGCATTGTCCAAAACACAACTGCTCATCTCGCTGCTACTTTCAAACTCTCTCTCCAACTCCCTCTGCACCACACCGACTCCCCGGACAAAATGGGGGGGGCCGTATTTCCAGCACAACATCAGAGTGACTGAGTGGCCCAGAAGGAAAGGCCAGGTTCATGCTGGACTCCACTCAACGTTCACAACCCATCACCCGCGTCCGATCTCCGGAATCTCTCAGATTGCCCCTTCTCTGCAGCCCCACCGCCACCACCCCTGCCCTCGTCCAGCTCTCGATCTCCTGAGTGAACTGTTGGGCTGGTTTCTCCCTGGTCTCCCGGCTTCCGGTTCTCCGCCCCCGCCTGCCTCCCACGCTGCCCTCAGGCCTGAGCGCCTCTCCAAGGCGCTGGTGGCACGCCCTTCGCCTGGCGGCTGGAGGCCAGGACTGGGGAGACCTTTCTCTGTGCGCTCAGGACTGAAGCTCCTGAGAGCCCTTCCTGCGCTGAGCCCTAACGGTCTTCAGCAGTGCACTCGGGGCTCCCTGGGGGCTGGACATGGCATTTACTCCTTTCTGCTGCCTAGTGTCCAGCCTAAAGCCCGGTGTGGAAGGTGCTCAACAGAGAATGTTAAACTCATGGAAGCAGGAGAGCAGTGCCAGAGCAGTGCGACAGAGGGTGCCACCCCTGAACCCCGACCGGTGGGACTGATCCGAGAAGCCTTGCCCTGTTCAGAACGGCTCACGTGCCTAACAGATGTGCCTGAGGATCGTTTTGCTACGGGGCCAAAGATTAGGGGCTCCGGGGACAGGTGTGGGGCCTTTGGAGAACTAGGTAAAATTGGAACAATATGCTGCACAGGTAAAAGGATAACCAGTCTGTTTCAACAGCCAGCTCAGATTCTCAGATTAGTTAGCCGGAGAGGTGTTTGAGTTTCAAAGCGTTTTCTGTACACTTGCTGAAATAGGTCCACTGTAGGAATGGGACTGCTTTAGCTTTAAAGAGGATTTTTATTTTTTTATTTTTTTAATTATTATTATTTTTAAAAATATATCTTTATTGATTTCAGAGAGAGGGAAGGAGAGGGGGAGAGAGAGATAGAAACATCAATGATGAGAGAGTCATTGATGGAGCCCGCAACCCGGGCATGTGCCCTGACCGGGAATCGAACCCTGATCGCCTGGATCCTAGGTCGATGCTCAACCCCTGAGCCACGCCCCGCCAGGCGAAGGAGGATTTTTAAAAGCAGCTTTAAACCTGTTGGCCCAACCATCATCCTAACTGGGCACCGTATCCCCTCAAAGGGGAAGAAGTTGGTGCCATTGGCCACCATTAAACAGAGATGCTGCTCGTGACTTCCTCAATCACAACAAAGCCTCCGTGTGGGCCCACAGTGAGTCACCTCAATAAATATTCATAGTGATAAAACCCAGGTCCCCAGAACAAGAGGCTCAGGGCCATCCAGATGAACTCCCCAGCCTTATTAGGAAGTGGGCAGAAAGAAAGACTTCCTAAACTAACAATGCACTTGGTTGCTTCCATGAAAATCACTATATTTGTGCCCTAAGAAATTCTGGAAGAATGCATAGTCATTTCTCAGAAACAGACTTTGCTAACAGGAGGTAATATACCATTTCTGTTAGTGTTTTCTTCTTTTTCCTGCATTAGATCCTAAGGAAAGCACACATTCTATCAGAGGACCTGAAAAGTTATTCCAGAACAGGTATAAAAGAAAAGGGGGGAAAATCTTGTAGGTGAACTATTGTTCTTGACCCTAGGAATAATCACCTCATCGGATGTGATTTTTGCATGAAGAAAACCCATATTTCTGTTTAAAAAGAAAAGACAGTAAATGTGAAACATTTCAGACCTTCCAAAACAAGCCACAATTCCTTCCAGCAACTCCTAAAAAAGCTAATTAGTTATCTTGGGCAGTGACTACAAGCCCATGCAATCTCCCTGGATAAGACTTCCCTTCAGCATCAAAGACATGCACAGAAAAAGGTAAATTAAGGAATTTAACAATTAATGCGGCTATGTTAATTCTGTGTGATGCACTAATTTGCTTTATGTGCATCTGTTCCCATCTGATTAAAAAAAAAAGCCTAACAATAATACAATAATATTTCTAACTGTTGAAGCAAGAGTTGGAGGTAGAATGGTCCCTGGATCCTCCCTGAATGTCATGTCATCTCCTGGTAGCATAAGTCATGACACCTTACCCTTAAGACCCCCAAATCAGGTGACCTGTAAGACAGGCCCACTGACAGGGAGGTGTCTGGCTTGGCATTGATCTAAGTCAATGTCTGTGTGAAGGAATTCATTTCCACACTTGGAAATCTATTCCAACCACAAAAACATGGCTAAAATTGTGGGTCAGAAAGGAGAGTAATGTTGGCTCTTCTTGAAAGAAATGTTTAATTTCTCAAAATGCCCCCTTTACTGTGAATATCAATTTTGCTATTAAAAATGTTTCAGGGTGTTCACTTTTAGCACCTAAATTAAGACTGGAAATGAGAAGGGCAGAAAACAGGAATCTGGAGGGACGAAGTGACCTGCTCCGAATGTGATAGATGGGAAGGGGTGGAGCTGGGGTCAGAGCCTTGAAAAGCCTGACTTCAAATCCCAGGCTCTCGTTACTGCGCGACATTGTCGCCGTCAGCTGAACAGTGTTTCTTTACACTAAGCCATGCTAACTACTGCCACCTGAACTTGTAGAACTTTCCTCTCTCCCTCTCTTTCCACAGCAGCTGAGGCTAAACGGTGCCCTTGGCTTGCCTCATATACCACTTGGGGGGCTCCTGACGCCGGGGCTCCCCGCCGTGCCCGCTAGCCCCCAATATCCACGTGGGCCCATTTCTAAGTTTGGTTGACCCTCCCAGGGCTCCTGCTGGCTGGGCCAAGTCCCTGCCTCTATTAAGAGAGGACGATTGGACTTTCTCAGTTTAATAAGCCAAACAATGGCAGGCAAACTAGGCTCTTAATTCCTAAACTGGTCCTCACCTTTTTTCTTCTGGGATGTTCTCCAACAGCATTTGAAGGAAATCCTGGAATCAGAAAAAAGCAAACCGTTAAAGGTGTCCATCGATGAACCACTGCCAGCAGCCGCTCCCCAGTCCCAGCGCTCCCAGCTCCCGAGGCTCACCTGCTGGCGAAGCTGGGCCCACGCTGAATTATTAGACTATATACCCGATTTATTCATTACCAGGGCTTCAGTCCAATCAGGTAAAGAGATTTGTTTTGTAAAAGCCACAAACAAGTTGAAAAATGTAATGTTAATTTGACCTATATCCACGGCTTATTTCATTCCACGTTTCAACTCTTTTCAAAAGGCTGGGGGCGCCACGGAGCACTGTCCCTCGCTCCCCAACCAGGCTCTCCTCTTCCTGAGCCTTGCCTGGGTGTCCTGCTACATGCCGAGCCGCCTCAACTGGGAGGCTAGGGACTGACTTGCAACTTTCTTGCACTGCTCTATGGAAAGACGAAGACCAAGCTAAAGACGAGTAATATCCCAGTGGAGGAACAAATAAGTCGCAACGCCAGCATGGTTCCCGGTTCCCTGCCTCCATCTGCAGCCTCTCCCAGGGCCCCTGTGCGAGTCCTCCATTCTTTGACATTTAAGATACTTCAATAATAAATTTTTTAAACTTAAAGACATGACTTACATACACCCATTGTTTCCTTTACTATGGAAAATTTCAAACACATTCAAAAGTAGACGAAATAGTATAATTAGCCCACAGCCAATCTGCCCCATCCACTTATCTGCCTCCTGTATTATTTAGAAGTGACTCCCAAACATTACATAATTTCATCATGTGTCAGTAAATGGCTCTAAAAGGATTCTTTTAAAACATACCCACAATACCAAAAGGCCTAAAAAAATTCACATATGAATGTTCAAAATCACATTTATATTTAATTGGCACCTTGAATATTGTGACCAGTCATTTCAGTCCATCTAATTCTGGAACCTTGACTTGACCTCAACTACATTTGTCAGATAAAATATAGGACACCCAGTTAAATTGGGGGCATACTTACACTAAAAAGTATTTGTTGTTTATCTGAAATTCAAATTTAACTGGGCATTGTGTATTTTTATTTGCTAAATTTGTGTTAACCCTCTGTCATCTGAAGATGTGATAAGAAACATTTTAGAAAAATACAGAACATGAAACAAACAGGAACAACCTTTAGCTTTTGGGGGATCTGTACTTGAAGTTATTCTTTTAATAAACTGAAAATCTTTTAAAGCAGGTCCTTGCAAGAGGGAGCATGTGTACAAGCTCGGATGACCCACCACGGCTCTGCCAAAGGCAGGTCCCTACAGATGGAAGCCCCCGCCCCTGCCCAGCCTGCGGATCCCGGCGCCGCGCTGGGCCCTGATGAGAGCCACTTAACTCAGAGTGCGAGATGGAAGCAGCGGCGCAGGCCCTCGGATTACAAACAGATGGAATCAGAGAGGAGTGGAAATCTGCAAACAATTTGTATGACAAGGTGTTCTTTTTCTATCATCGCGCTAGGCACAGCCATCACTACACTGGCGAAGCAGCCATGCCCTTCTGTGAGTTTATGGGGGCGTAGGTCCATTTCTTCCAGAGGCAAATTCTCCCTATTAAGGGCAGTAATGAAAAATTTATTTCTTGCAACCTCTGTTCTCCTTCTAAGACTTTACTTGTCTATTGCTGCTTTGCCCAAAATAAACGACACAAAGAATACCAACTAGTATTAAAAGCATGGATCATGCAGTCAAAATGGAAGGGGACAACCCCAAATAGAAATAATGCCTCACATCTGAAGTCCTTCCTCGCACCTGCAGTGGACACAGCACATGCAGAAAAATGCCAAAGGAAACAAGAGCAATATTTAGAATGTGAAGAATTATTTCTGCTTGAGGTTCCTGAAGTCATTATTTTTTAATAATTATTTTATTAAAATGTTGATTTGGAAATTAATTTATCACAACTGATTAATAGATTACTTGGCAGAAATTTCACTGGCTGAATGGCAGTATTCTTGCTTCCTGAAAACCTAAGTACTGTAAGTATAATTTCTTACTAATTTCACTTCATTATCTCCTTAGAGCCCATATCAACTTATCCCATATTTGTGCAGTAAGTTATGCTCAATTATGTGTGTATGTGGGGGGAGGAATTACATTAATTTAATGGCAAGGGGGAGAATTTAATTGCATGAGAAGCAGGAAATGCAGAGTTAACCTTAATTCTGCCCTTTGCATTTTCCAGTTATAATTGGATCTTTCTTTACAGGACTGCAGAGCACAATGTTCCAGAATTTTTAGCGAATACAGGAAAAGTACAGGAGGCCCCCAAGAAACCCTGTTTCTTTTTTTTTTCATCCTCTCGAGGCTATTTTTCCCATTGCTTTTCAGAGAGAGTGGGAGGGAGAGGGAGAAAGAGAAACATCGATGTGAGAGAGACACATCAATTGGTTGCCTCCTGCAAGCGTCCCAACCAGGGCCAGGGATCAAGCCTGCAACCGAGGTAAGGAGGTAAGCGCCCTTGGCTGGAATCAAACCCGGGGCCCTTCAGTCCATGGGCGACACTCTAACCACTGAGCCAAACCAGCTAGGGCCCCTGTTTCACTTTTTAAGAAAGGTACCTGTCCCACCTCTGAGCAGGTGGCCACTGGCATCTTCCTGCCTCAGAGCTGAGGCTGAAGGGCGCACAGCAGTCCACTGGGGGCTGCTGACCGAGGCTGGGGATGAGGGTCTAGGGGTCCTATACCCCCGACAGCCTGACCATCTCTAAGGCACGGTGCCCGTATTCCCACAGGCTATGTGAATGGCTGCCTACAGTGCGAGGTGTTTCCCTTCTGTCCTGGGAGCCACCTAATCCAAAAAGACACATGGTCTCATCCAGGCAGTCACTGTACCACCCACAGTGGAAACAGCCCAACTGGCCCTTCTTACACCTTTCACAGACCTAATCTTTAACCACAAAATGCTAGTTTTCCTATGTGTGTTTTTCTTATTTTTTGTAAGCTGGCATATACCTCTGCAGTGGACTCCTCACAGAAGCGTTTCCAAGGTGTCTCTTATGATTACTCCTTCCCTCGCCACCTCTTTTCAACTCTTCATTGTCTTCACTCTTCCTTTCTGCATGTTGGCACTTTTATAAGTAATACAAATCTTAATTGGACAAGGAGGGCTCTCCTTCAAGGCAGATTCCAGGATCACAGAGGAACTAGGACACTGACATTCATCTAGGGCCATGCACACACCCAGCTAGAACAAATGCACCTCTATGGTATGCCTGAAAAACCTAAGCAACAGAAACCCTGCTGCTTTACAGCGGGCTAGGACGAAATTTTATCTAGACTCCTGGCAATTGTTACAAACTCTTAGTCCAGGCAAAAAGTACATTCTTTGGCAATTTTTGTTTTCATTTTCTGCTCTAATAATCTATATGCTAGCCAGGTCAGTCCCAGACAGCTTATTTTTATTAACATCTAACACTAAATTAAGCATTATGATTAAACAGAAAACTACACTGATTTTGGCACATGGCTAATTGGAAATTACGTTTTAGTCCTGGTGAAAGTATTCAATAAAAAGGAGGTGCATCGTGGCCCATGTGGCTCAGTGGTTACAGTGTCAGTCTACGCACCAAAGGGTCGCAGGGTGGAGGGTTCGCTCTGGTCAAGGGCACATACCTGGGTTGCAGGTTAGCTCCTCACCCCTGGTTGGGGCGCGTTCAGGAGGCAACCAGTCGATGTGTCTTCCTCACATCGATGTTTCTCTCTCTGTCCCTCCCTTCCTCCCTCCCACTCTCTCTGAAAAGCAATGGAAAAAATATCTTCTGGTGAGGATTACCCCAAAAAACAAACAAACAAAAAAGCAGGCGCATGTAGATTCTACTGGGTAAATTGGCATTGACTTGATAATTACACAGGATTAGCAATTTCTGTAAGATGTTTTATGAATAATTACCAAGGTGATGGGGAAGGGAGGTAGGAGAGGCAAAGCAAACAAAATGTTGAAGCAAGGGCAGTGTCGCCAGGGTAAGAACTGAGGAGAAATGAAATGGGCAGGAAGAAGGCATGGTCAAGCTCAAGAAAGCAGTTTTAATTGGGGCTGGAAAGATGACACTGAAATGCTGGATAGGTGGAGCACTCAGAACAGAAAGAATTATGAAGCAATTTGGGGAAAAAAGAAATGGAGGGGCTTCTGAGTAAAGACACTGGATCATCGCCTTCCTCATCAATATTATTAATATCATAAATAAAATTAGTTAACAAGTAAACAAGAATATAATTCATTTAAAAAATCAGCAAAAACTTCACCAGCAACCTTCGAACCAGGAAAGATGTACATTCCTGTGGCACAAACTTCAAGGGGACAACTAAGAAAAGAAATGCACGATTCCAACACAGCTCCCAACCTTCCTGCACCACCTCCAACCTCAGGCTTAGCAGCAGCGCGATGGGCGAATTGTCCAGGCCCGGCAAGTTCTCACATACACTCACACATTTGGGAAGAAACAGGAATATTTTTATCTTTCCTCTTTTTTTTTACTGGGAGGGACTGGAAATGTTTGGTGGGGAAAATGAGTAATACCTGGGAAATAAACACCTAAGGATGACACTGATGAACTGCACAGGTTCTAGAGCTCCAAGCTGAGTTAGTGGGACAATACTGAGGGAGCAGCCGCAGTCAGAAAAAGCTGTACCCAAATTAGGTAAAGAGGATCTTGGCTGGGGACATTTAACAAAATTTCAAGAGTTACAGAAGCCAAATTCTTGCAACAAAAGCTGTATGCAGCTCCATGGAGCTCTTCCCCTTTGCCCCCTCCATGCATAATATTCAAGCTTAAACTGTAGCTTAGAAGGGGAAGAAAAACATGTCTAAGAAGAGTTGAGAGGTAAATCAAGGATAATATTCCAATACATATGAGAATAAATAAAAGGTCAAAACAGTGCTACTGACACTGAGAATCAGCAAGAAGAAAAGTAGGGCAGAAATAAAAATAGAGACAGAAATAAAAAGCATAACTTAAAGAATCCAGTCTCGAAGAAAACATAA